AAATTCCCCCAATTTAACTACCTGATTTGCCTTTTCAAAACCCTTTAATCATTACTACCTATTTTTTTATTTTTAACAAAACAAGATTTCCCTTTTTTAAACATTCTAATTAACATCCCCTTTTAAAGGCCTTTTCATTTTTCTATAAAATTTGAAAGCTTTCCTGTTTTAAAGTTTTTTTAAAAATTTAACTGTTTTTTTTGAGGAAGCCTTCTATTTTTGAGCCCCTTTTTAATCTCCCTAACAATCAAAGTAAAATAAAATACAAAATAATTGGTGTTTTTATTCATTAAATTTTCAAAAAAATGTTTTTATTGTATAAAGTAATATTTGTAATTTTGCAGTCCGGATTTGTTACACTGTATAACAGTACAGCGATCCCAAATCTTCGTAATAAGTTGATTTTTTCTGGATAATGTTTGAACGAGTCCTGATTTTTTAGACCCATGTATAGTTGCTTTATAGACTAGAAAAAAAATTTCACTGGACAGATCAAGCAGAGAGACTTTGGTGATGGTTGTCGCCTTATGCAAGTGCACGTGTCAGGTCAAATTAATAAAGCTTACATACGCGAAATGTGGAGTCCCATCCACCTTATAGTGGGGAACCCCCCCCCCGCAAGTTTTTTTTTTTTATGGCTATGGAACAAGATTATTAAAGTAAGAAAATTAACAAAGGGCAATAAACTCAAACAAGAGCCACTGCCCAGACAGGGGCAAAACTCAATCTGTTTTCCTTTTTCTAAAACTAGAAATGTGTCCATATAGGACACGGGTGTCCCCATACTCCACTGTTTGTCCATACTCCACTGTTTTTTCAATTGTATGACTCTAGGTCAATTATTATGATGCGGTCTAAGATTTTGACCCCAGGGCTTTTTATTTGAACAAACTTGGTAGACACTCACTAACTCACTAGAAGATATTTCATGCTTAGTATCTAAACTCTAGCTCTTTGGGTTTTTCATTAGAAGATTTTTTAAGTATTTTACTATACACATTTAAAGAAAATCAATGACCCCCGGGGTGGGCCAAGTTTTTTAAGTTTTTACTATATACATAAAGGGAAAAACAATGACCTCCTGGGGCAGGGCCAATTTTAACCCCAAGGCTTTTATTTGAACAAACTTGGAAGATACCCACTAGAAGATGTGTCATGCTTAATATCTAAGCTGTAGCCATTTTTGTTTTTTTAAAGGAAGATTTTTAAGTTTTTTACATATACAATTAAGGAAAATCAATGACCCCCTGGGGTGGGGGCCAAATTTTAACCCAGGGCTTTTATCTGAACAAACTTGGTAAACACCCACTAGAAGATGTTTCATGCTTAATGTCTAAACTCTAGCTATTTGGGTTTTTTAAAAGAAGATATTTTAAGTTTTTCTATCGGTTGCCATGGCAACCAGAGTTCTGCTTGGAATTAAATTATTTGAGCAATTTCTAAAGTTGATCAACCGGAAACAAACAGTCATACATGTACCGGTATATCAACCGGAAACAAACAGTTATACATGTACCAGTATATCAACCAGAAACAAACAGTTATACATGTACCAGTATATCAACCAGAAACAAACAGTTATACATGTATCAGTATATTAACCAGAAACAAACAGTTATACATGTACCGGTATATTAAACCAGAAACAAATAAGTAATACATGTACCAGTATATCAACCAGAAACAAACAGTAATACATGTACCAGTATATCCAACCAGAACAAAACAGTTATACATGTACCGGTATATTAAACCAGAAACAAATAGTTATACATGTACCAGTATATCAACCAGAAACAAACAGTTTATACATGTACCAGTAATATCAACCAGAAACAAATAGTTATACAAGTGTACTGGTATATCAACCAGAAAACAAACAGTAATACATGTACTGGTATATCAACCAGAAACAAACCAGTAACACATGTACCGGTATATCAACAGGAAACAAACAGTAAATACATGTACTGGTATATCAACCAGAAAACAAACAGTAATACATGTACCGGTAATATCAACCAGAAACAAACAGTAATACATGTACCGGTAATAATCAACCAGAAACAAACAGTAATACATGTACTGGTATATCAACAGGAAACAAACAGTAATACATGTACTGGTATATCAACCAGAAACAAACCAGTAAAATACATGTACCGGTATATCAACCGCAGAAACAAACAGTAAACACATGTACGCCGGTATATCAACCAGAAACAAACAGTAATACATGTACCGGTATAATCAACCAGAAAACAAACAGTAATACATGTACTGGTATATCAACAGGAAACAAACAGTAAATACATGTACTGGTATATCAACCAGAAACAAACAGTAATACATGTACCGAGGTATATCAACCGGAAACAAACAGTAATACATGACCAAGTATATCAACCGGAAACAAATAGTAATACATGTTTTTGGTTTGCTTGTTTGTTTTCATTTTTACGCCTTTTCCCAACAGTATTTCAGTCATATAGGCGGGTAGTTTTTCTAACCATCGTTCCTGGAGAGTTACACCAAAGTATCTCCCAGGGATCAAAACCCATGCCAGAGAGGAAATTGGGATTTAGACGTCACGGAGGCAGTCAGTAATACAGCACAGATAACGAGGAATATGCAAAATCCTCGGAGGATCGAGGAATCCACTCGCAACTGCCTTGAGAGTATTTTGTCCATAAAAACGAGTGACTCCGCATGAGAAACGTGTGATGAGAGCGACTCTGAGACGAAAATAACAGCGTAAGACTCCGAGCGAGAATTACCGTGTCAGTGTCATCAAGTTTATTTTTATCCCAAATTAATAAGGTCAGTAGCAATAACCACAGGAACCTGAAATTCTATCAAAAAAAACGATTAAAAAAAAAAATCCATATAATAACGGCCCAACTTTTTTGTATACTTCTTTAATGAAATAAGAATAATTCAGATTATAGTAAACTTCATTAATCTTTAAATGTCTTTCTTGTCCTACTAAATCACTTCGAAGTTCCTCAAGAAAAAAACCTACAACTTCCTTTTGACGAAAATAATCTATGAATTTATGAATTAAAAATTTATGAAATTTCTACATTTTTTGTATGTTTATTTATTATACACCATTGTATTTTATTAGATGTCATTGTTTCTAACAATGTTTACGTGCCAAAGATTACGTTGTAATTTATTTCAGCTTGTGTTTTTTTTTTCAATTTCGAAAATGAGTTTCGATCTTCAATAAATAATTCTAATCATTTGATAACAAGTGCACCATCCAAAAAAAATTGACTTGGCTAGTACATTGTTACAATGGAAACTATTTACTTTTATATCCGTATTTCAAACAAACAATTAAAGGGAGAACGTCATGTACTTCACTTTGGAAAGCAATTTTATGGTAATCATTTATGTAACTTTATAAATTTATCTAAAAGCCTGACTTAAAAAAGTATAAAATTAAAACTTGTCTTAAAGAAAATTAATTCTGAATTCAAGACCCTGGTACAAAGTATAATATCCCTTTTTTTTTTTTTTTCAAATAGTATGTCAATTTGGAATTAAAATACCTACTAAGGCCTGGTTTATTTCCGTGTTTTCGTAAATTCTACTTTTTTATGCTTACATAATGATTAAATTAATTTTTTATAAACAATGGCAAAAATGAAAGCTCATTATGCATTTTATTATTTCAGCTAAACTTTAAATGAGGGCTTTTGACACTGTGTGGACACGGGAATTGCGGGAAATCAACTCGGTTATTCTTCCGCTTTTGAATATTAATGAATCATTAGTGTGTCTACATTTCGTTTCACTTGGGCCTTGTGGTAACTTTACATCAACGAAGAATTTTCGACAACATTATTTTTGAATGATACATGCGTTCAAGGATTTTAATTTAGAGGTAGAGCATTTAAATATTAACTAGAACTTGCCACTATCTTGGCGTGAATACCCCCGCATACCACTTTGTCAGAATCAAACAGTGGCCATTTAGAGCTCAAGGACAACCTCCCTGCCAAATCTGAGGTTACTAAAGCCAGTGCATTGTTAAGTTATGTATTCTACAAGCTTCAAATGTGAAAATGTCAAAAATCAATACATTGCGGACAGGAAATTCTTTAGCAATTGAGAAGAAAAGCTTTTTTTTTGTCAAGGTCCCTGTGACCTTGACCATTGACCCAGTGACCTCAAAGACAATAGGGGTCACCTTATAGTCATGATCAACATCCATGCCAAATATGAAGACTGTGGGTCAAAGGAATCTTAAGTAAATGGGTGGACAAACTTTTTGAAGTCAAAGTCCCTATGACCTTGACCTTTGATCCAGTGACCTCAAAATCACAAGGGGTCATCTACTTATCATGATCAACATCCATGCCAAATATGAAGACTGTGGGTCAAAGAAATCTAAAGTTATTGGGCAGACAAATTTTTGAAAGTCAAAAGTCCCTGTGACCTTGACCTTTGACCTGGTGACCTCAAAATCAAGTAGGGGTCATCTACTAATCATGACTAACCTCCATGCCAATCATGAAGACTGTGGGTCAAAAAAAATCTTAAGTTATAGGGCGGACAAGCTTTTTGAAGTCAAGGCCCCTGTGACCTTGACCTTTGACCTGGTGACCTCAAATTCAATAAGGGTCATCTACTAATCATGACTAACCTCCATGCCAAATATGAAGACTGTGGGTCAAAGGAATCTTAAGTTATTGGGCGGACAAGCTTTTTGAAGTCAAGGCCCCTGTGACCTTTGACCTGGTGACCTCAAAGTCAAAAGGGGTCATCTACTAATCATGACTAACCTCAATGCCAAATATGAAGACTATGGGTCAAAGGAATCTTAAGTTATTGGGCGGACAAGCTTTTTGAAGTCAAGGCCCTGTGACCTTGACCTTTGACCTGATGACCTCAAAATCAATAGGGGTCATCTACAAATCATTGACTAACCTCCATGCCAAATATGAAGACTATGGGTCAAAGGAATCTTAAGTTATTGGGCTGACAAAGCTTTTTGAAGTCAAGGCCCCTGTGACCTTGACCTGATGACCTCAAAATCAATAGGGGTCATCTACTAATCATGACTTACCTCCATGCCAAATATGAAGACTATGGGTCAAAGGAATCTTGAGTTATTGGGCGGACAAGCTTTTTGAAGTCAAGGCCCCTGTGACTTTGACCTTTGACCTGGTGACCTCAAAATCAAAAGGGGTCATCTACTAATCATGACTAACCTCCATGCCAAATATGACGACTGTAGGTCAAAGGAATCTTAAGTTATTGGGCTGACAAGCTTTTTGAAGTCAAGGCCCCTGTGACCTTGACCTTTAACCTGGTGACCTCAAAATCAATAGGGGTCATCTACTAATCATGACTAACCTCCATGCCAAATATGAAGACTGTAGGTCAAAGGAATCTTAAGTTATTGGGCGGACAAGCTTTTTTAAGTCAAGGCCCCTGTGACCTTGACCTTTGACTTAGTGACCTCAAAATCAATAGGGGTCATCTACTAATCATGACTAACCTCCATGCCAAATTTGAAGACTAAGGGTCAGAGATATCTTAAGTTATTGGGCGGACAAGAAAAAACCGACGGATGGCCGGACGGACAAGCTGATTCCAGTATACCCCCTTTACAACTTTGTTGTGCGGGGGTATAATAAATAAAGCATGCCAAATCAGTCTTATTTACTCGGAGTCACTCTTTTTGACTCGGAGATTCACAGAGTCCTGCGGACTTAATTGTCACTCGTTATCGACGCGGAGTCATTCTTTGTGTACAAGAAATTTATAATTCACTCGTAGTCACGCTTTTTGTAATTACTCGTTACTCGCAGGAATTTGAACATTCCTCGTTATCTGTACTGTACATGAAACGGTATATTAATAACCGTAAACAAACATTTATGCATGTACAATTGTATCAACATGTATGGTAACCGATATATCAACTGGCAACAAACAATAGAAACACATTCTACCTCTTTTTGCTCTGTCTCAAGAACAGTAAATTTCCTTTTCATCTCTGTACGTTCTTTCTCAGCTTCTGACATCTGTGCTTCAAGTTCAGTTAATTTATTTTTCAGGTCCTCATATTCTTCTTCAGACTTAGTTGCAGCATTTTCTGTTGATTTCAAAACTTTTGACATTTCATCTTTGATTTGCCTCAGGATATCTTCAAAGTCTTCAGTAGTAATGATGAAGTCCTTTTTCTTCAGCTGATGAAAATAAATCAGTTAGGCCTATATTACATTTTATATCATAAAAAATGCAGCTATGTGATTTAAAATATTTACTCTTCTATACAACATATTATATACAAGGTAAGATTTCAAAATTATCTCAATTGGTTTTTATTTTAACTCTAATGCTTTTTCTGAGGGCTTCTAAAATCTTCTTTTAAGGCAGGATGTCTGGTATAGTCATTTGATTGCCAGAATTCTCTATTTTCTTCACATTTGTTTTTCTTACCTGTTACTAACAAGCTTAGATCCATATTTGTATTTGTAGGTATTTCATTTGATTTCATCAATATAAGTTAACTTAAGGCAGTTATTACTTAAATTTGACTTAAATGAAGTAACCACTTCGTGCACTTTTTTCTATTTAACTCTGTAAATTTAGTAAAATGTGCTTAATTCAAGTTATGATAATTTAACTCTTTAAAGGTTTCAAACTTATAATTAATTATGGTCACTTACATCTTGAAGTTTCCTGACAGCTTGTTGTGCATCTTGTTGATGTAAAAGTTCTTTACCATCTTGTAGAACAGCTATCATGTCATCAATATAACAATTAGCCTTGCTCTCCTCTAACTCCATATTGCTTGAGTGAAAAATTTCGTTTCGGTACTGCCGTACCTAATATACAGAAAACAAATAATACAACATTCACATAAATACAGTGTTCAGCAATGAGACTAAACACAATTCCTAAGTTGAGAATTAAAACTGTATTTTAAAGGAGTTACTTTAAAATACTTAACATAATAATCATTATCATTATTGTGTTTAAACCGCAGATTATATAAAAGCAAAGGGAATGGAAATGTCTTTTGATAAATCTTATAATTACTTTACTGAAGTAACAGTATTTACTTGTCGCATTTGCTTATAAAGCACAAATAATTACTTCTGTTCATTTTACAGTAAAGCTTAAAATACAAAAATTTGTTTGTTTCCCACCCATAAAAATTACAGCTAGCCAAAAAATTGTTAGCAAACAAAAAGTATTTGTAAATACAATTTATGCATAACAATTTTGAATCATTATTCATAATGTGGCAAACTGTTTCTCTGACAAAATAACTGCATTAACCTCATAGTCACCTTAGTGCAGTAATGGGTAAACTCCTATAAAAAATTCAATAAGAGTTTATAACCAACAAGATATGTTTGTAAAACATGTATGCCCCCTATTGACAGCCAATTAGTCATGTGATCAGGTTATTATGCATGACTTCTGACCCAGTGAACAAACAATTAATAAGGGTTATCTAGTATCTACTGTACATGACTAATCACAATGTAACAAGGTAATAATAATCATTGTGACCCCATAGGTTGTGTGCAGCAATTTAAGTTATTACAAATCTTACCAAATAATATATGCATAAATTTTGTGAATCATGCAGGCCTCATTAATGACAGCCAAGTTGTTACATAAGACCTTCAAATGTGTATACCAAAAGCATTTTTAGTTTAATATAAAAATATCAACCAAGTCAACTTGAGTTGTTGAGTTATTGGTCAGAAACCGTCATTAAGTACAAGGTCAAAATGACATTGACCCCTTGACTCCAAAATCAATAGGGGTCACCTACTGGTCATGACCAATCACCATACCAAGTTTGAAGTTCCTAGGCCTAAGCGTTCTTTAGTTATTGATTGGAAACCGTTTTTACCTACAAGGTCAATGTGATCTTGACCTTTGACCCCAAAATCAATAGGGGTCATCTGCTGGTCATGACCAATCACCATACCAAGTTTGAAGTTCCTAGGCCTAAGCGTGCTTTAGTTATTGATCGGAAACTGTTTTTACCTACAAGGTCAATGTGACCTTAACCTTTGACCCCTTGACCCCAAAATCAACAGGGGTCATCTACTGGTCATGACCAATCACCATACCAAGTTTGAAGTTCCTAGGCCTAAGGGTTCTTTAGTTATCACTCGGAAACCATTTGGTCTACGGACTGACGGACCGACAAATGCAAAGCAATATACCCCCTCTTCTTTGAAGTGGGGGCATAAAAACTACACTAAGCCTAAGGTAACAATGATCTCTTTTACTTTTATACGCAATTAACAGACAACATTTTAATCTTACAGTAAAGCCTAATATTCTACAAAATTTAAAATAAACATATAGTATACAAATGGAGTTACCTTTGAAAAAAGATTGTTTGGTCCTGTAACATTGCATCCAATATGGCTATGAAAGTACTTGTTATTTATGATAACATGAAGCAACCCAGTGCAATCAGTGTCGACTGCTGATGTCTTGTCCTTGTACCCAGGAGCATTTATAAAACATTTGCAAACCTCCCACGGTTCTGTCGACCACTGTTGGGCATCACTGTTTTTCCAAAAAGGTACTGGTGGCATTGATGCATGATACTGTATAATGCTGTCATAGATGGCACCACATACGTTGTTTGGACAGGGTCTCTAATTATTAGGAAAACAACAGTTACATTTATCTTGATTGAGGGGACATATCCCTTTTGAGACTCGGACATGATCTGGCTGGAGAGTTGTTATCTGACAGGTGCTGCATGGTATGTTTGGTTGAGGAGTCTTTGTTTGTTGTATTTTGTTTATAATATCGTTGTGCTGCTGTCTTCCTATGTCATCACAAAAATGGCGCAAGTCCCTCTTTAAGATAACCCAAGCCTAGGCCAGCCTTAACCCACTGCCGGTATTTGTTGTTCTTTAAATGTATCTCATGTGCCATCTTGATTTCTAAAACAAACAAAAAATTTATTTTTAGCTACAATTTGTGAAAATCCAAGGAAAACCATTATTATCTATGACTGATCACAAACACTTGTACATGTATGCCCTGAAAGCTGGCCCCAGTTAAGTGAACACAAACTTTGACAATGAAGGCATTGCTACTATCAATAGAGGGCCATATTGGCCCCAGATTGCTCATCTAAGTTTCACTGTTAGAAACGGTCATCACATTTTATACAGGAAGTAGATATTAATTGTTTCCCTTCATGAAGCAGCCAAAAATCAATTCCAAAACCATTTCTACATCTCAAAGTTAAGAACTTGGAAGACATGTATGTTAGAACGTCATCGTCTCGAGACGATTTGTGTGTCTTTTTTCTTTGGGAAAAAAAAGTCTGTCAAAAGTCTGTCAATCCCTGCGATTATTTTTACGGTGAGATTGTCACCCGGAAACGTCCCTGTTTACAGTTTTGACTTTCTGTTATCACCCGATCGGTGCAATTTCTGCTGCGGAAATATCGTCACCGTTGATCACTGTGAAATATTGCAGGGACACGCTCTCTTGGGTGACCAGTGATCAATTTATTACACGCCGGTAATTTTACTAAAATACATATGTACGTCTGAAAAAAATAACACACCCTGTTTTAAAAATTTTAAAACTTTAACAAAAATTCATCGCAGACCTGTCAATATTCAATTGTGCGAAAATACACGAAAACACTCGCCAACAAAGTAGCATCAATAAATAAATGAGATATAATGTTTCCAACTTAAATAACATACGCAAAATTTACACACATGATGACCTCTGACAATTGACTAGTCTGCTCTTCAAAAGAATCTGCCAATCTTTGATGTTGACACATGTGTATTCCCTACCAAAGAAGTGCCGACACTCAAATGACTTCCATCCATCTGATGAGCCCTAATTATCCCTAAAATTTCCACCAGGATCGATGATTAACTTCTACAATAACTTTTGATGGAATAGATGGTATTTTACACGTGTCAATGCTTTTTACGAACCGGTGCTGGAAATGGGAGGCCACAACTTGTATGCCTTGTTTATATTATATACATGTATATAGGGCCAAGGGGTGTCATCGATTCAATCGATATCGGTGTATCAACGATCTTTGTTATCCGATTCGATATCGATTCCATTTTTTAAATATCGGATATCAAATGCACATATATTTCTAGCTAAAGAGACTTCAGCGAACAGTTTTTATAGAACTGATAGACCTGTTTACTGTTGCAAAACGTCAAAATAAAAGCAACATATAAAGTTATGGAAGCCAGAAACAATTTTTTTTTTAAATGAAAACGGAAATCAATGCCAAAGTTACCTCCCAGTGTCTCTAACGAATGCTGCCTAATTTCGTTGTAATCTCGCATGTGTGCTAAGTGAATGTTAAGACCCCTCAATTCAGATTTCAAAAGGGAAAATGCCAAGAAAAATTTGTCAGTGTTAAACTTTAATAATTAATCAGGTTCTAAACACTATAATTTGCCAATTAAACCTGACTTAATTTGAACGGCAAGGACGGGATTTAGCATTATCAGTAACTATGTAATAGCAACAACAACAACTAAAGTAAAATGGAAAAGGCTTTAAACTTTCTAGTTACTAATCATTAGTTTTTATTTATAGCTATATGATAAAAAAAAGAAACAAATTGTTCAGTTTTTATAGTTAATCATTTTTGCACTTGTCTAAATATAACTGCTTTGTCAGAGTCCTTAGGAAACATTTAAAAACACTTGAAAGCTAAAATTTAGCCTGGCAATCGATATATCGCTGTATCGCCGATAATTCATTATCGATACAAAAATCCTTATCGATGACACCTCTACATGTATATAGATTTAATAAAATAAGGACAGATTTACCTATGCGCGTCTGTGGCACTTTTCAGAATGTCTGAATTTGGTCAGATTATGGACAAATTTTAGTTACATTATTGTTATATATTGGGTAAATTGAGGTCAGAAACTGGTTAGATTCAGGTCTGAAATAATTAAGGAACGGAATAATTGGTTTATAATTTCTACTTTCGTTTTCACCAAACACCTTTTGGTCATAGGAACTCTGGAACAGGACCGCATATTGCGGTCCATAAATCCGGATTCGTACCGGTGGCTTTACAAATTGTTTGTCCGACCTTTTAATATCTTTTCATATTATGCGAGCGGGTGGTCTTTAATTATCTAATCTCAATTTAATATGATCTGCAAATTTAAAAATCAGTGAAATTTACGGTATATTGAAAAAAGAAAAGGAGTGACATCCGCCATTTGCCGCAACGTTCGGTGTAAGTTATCCCCCTTGATACGCTTGATTTTTGTTTTAATTTTTCTAGTACTCTCTTTATGTCACTCAATACATGGAAACTTTCACATTTCCTAATAAGGAATACCAGATGAGTGCCTTAAATATTTATCTATGGATCATGTTTTAATATTCCTTTTTTTTCAGTTAGGCAAAATCTATTAGACCATATTACTAAAATGTCTGTTTTCTCCATGTAAACAAATCATAACACGAATACGCCCATTATAATGCCGACTATACATGTCAAACACTAGTGCATGTCAACACGTGTAACAATAAACCGTTACGATACCTGATAGTTGACAACGATAACGGGAACAAAATTCTGAAAAAATCAGTCTTTCCGAAAGACCGTCGGCCCTGACCGGTAAAAAATCAGAAGGTCCGATAAAAATATATGTTTTGACGGCCCGACGGTCCGGTAAAAATTAAGGATTTATAAAAACCTTACATTGAACATTTTGTAAAGGCCGATCATTTACCTACATTCAAAACAAATCAAAATGTTGTCATTACACAATATAAGCTCGTGCAATGCTTGTCAACTGTTATGCATTCTCATAATGCAAACTTTAATGTAACAACGTAAGATAAAAATATCCGACAACTAGTACAATTAAAAGTCAATAAGCGGCCGTGTAAATTACATAAGCGGCCCAGATGTGAAAGGTCAACCGCTATTAGTTTGTTTACACAGATGAAAGTGTCAGTGAATTAATTGGAACAATTTACGTCTTTAATCCACAGACTTAGAGAAATGTTAAATTACATGTGTGCTCAACTGGTGTTTAGCTTAGTCCTATAAATATGACGTCGCTTTGAGATATTTTTGCTTCTGGGCAAAGCAACGTCATAATTATCGAAATTGCTCAAAAACCCATAGCATGTTCCGCCAGAAAATCGGGCGGAACGAAAAACAATGAAGACAGCGTGTATTTACATAATTTTTTACCTATTTATGAACAAAACTAAAAAATAAATACCTTTAGTCAAAATAATTAAACTGTCACATCCGAAAAATCATGATTAAATCCTCTCATGTATTTCAATTCCTTTTACAGCCGATTAACAAATGGCGTCCGTAAAGTGCGCGAAATCTGATTGGCTAATTCAAATGCAAGCGTTTAACTGAGTCAGAACAATCTAACGGAATATTTTTTTTAACGAAATAATTGCCCATGCACCGTCAGTGTGTTCGAATATATTTTTTCGTTCAAAAATTTGGAATCAATCTGTAAAGCACCTTGCTTAACCAGTATGGCTGATAGACAAAAATAGATTGATGTTTATATTTTATTTTAAATTGATAAGTACATCGTTTGAAAGTTTTTGTGTATGATTGAGCATGAAATTGAAAGAAAATATTATAAGCTTTTGAATAAAGCTTGAAAGGCAAGACAATAGACATTTTTTTGAATTTTATATGATGCTATGCGTTTTTGAGCAATAACTATTAGACGTCAGGCTTGACCGACAAAAACTATAACAAGCCTGTAACGTTTAATATATTGGACTAGTGTTTAGCTATGAAAGATCGTCCAAGAAGTTGACAAAAATTAAACTATACTGTGAAGGTACCAAAATCATTGAACAATTAATCTATCAACTTCACTAAATTACCGATATATATAATTCTGTTTACATATGCCAGACTTTTGCTGAAATTTACCCTCTCATTTTGCTTGTATATAGTCTGTATGAAATTAAAGTTTAAATAGCAAAATCCATTGAATACATGTATAACAATATTTATGTTTACATTTTGATTGTGGTGAAAAAAGATAACTTCACTTGTTGATAATACAATTTTCTTTTTGTACACAAATTTTTTGACTGCTGACACTTATCAAATGACTCAAAATGCTATACCAATCAGGTTTTTTCCGGTCCAGTAAAATCATGTTTGGTCCAGTAAAAATTTTCAGTTTACAGGACCTACTGTCCAGTAAAACTCAGAAGTCTTTCGCATAGACTGAAAAATAGTAATCAAGTGTAGCCAAAGGGGGAAAACTCATGCCGAATGTTGCGGCAAATGGCGGATGTCACTCCTTGTCTTTTTTTTATAATACCGTAAAATTTCACCAGTTTTAAAAGTAACAGATTGGGTCCAAGTGATAATATATTGTTTGAGGCCATATGCTCGGATAATACTTAAGAGATATTTAGAGGTAGCGGAAACGTTTTTAAAAACCGTTACACGATCGAAAACACAGGGGGCCCACACAGTGTTTGGACGGTATATACTGCTTGATAGTGACCTTAAAATCAGATTTTAGTCATAACCTTATAATATGTATATAAATATAGACAAGGGGCATTACTCGCTAAATAGAGAATTTTCGATCACCCTCAAATTCATGCGAGATTTTCCACTAATTAAATAAAAAAATTCCAAAAACTATACTGCGTTGCATAGCTTATATAATCCACAATTGATAAACACTAAATCTATTCTGATTCCCTTAGCCCATTTTAAGAAATTTATTCAAAACCGTTCACTTCTGTCACAAAATTGCTTAGTCGTACGAGATGTCGCAACACCAAATTCCACGGGTAAAATATCAATTTTAAAAGGGGGAGGTACAAATAAACGCATGCAAACAATAACACAACATAGTTTCTATTACCTACCTGCGCAAATAGTCGTGAAGCGCTCTATATTCGTCTGTTTCGAACGAAATCTTCAAATCAGTGCAGAAATCTGCTTCGGCGAATACATGTTGGAAATTCTGGTCATGGTGTATGGAAACCTTTCATTGGTTGTCGTTATAAACAAAGTTCCTACCGAACCAATGAAAGGTCTCGATACACCAGCTGGTCACGTGACCGGGGTTTCCCCAAGATGTCTACGTCGAAGCAGATTTCTGCTCTGATTTGAAGATTTCGTTCGAAACAGACGAATATAGAGCGCTTCACGACTATTTGCGCAGGTAGGTTATAGAAACTATGTTGTGTTATTGTTTGCATGCGTTTATTTGTACCTCCCCATTTTAAAATTGATATTTTACCTGTGGAATTTGGTGTTGCGACATCTCGTACGACTAAGCAATTTTGTGACAGAAGTGAACAGTTTTGAATAAATTTCTTAAAATGGGCTAAGGGAATCAGAATAGATTTAGTGTTTATCAATTGTGGATTATATAAGCTATGCAACGCAGTATAGTTTTTGGAATTTTTTTATTTAATTAGTGGAAAATCTCGCATGAATTTGAGGGTGATCGAAAATTCTCTATTTAGCGAGTAATGCCCCTTGTCTATATTTATATACATATTATAAGGTTATGACTGAAATCTGATTTTAAGGTCACTATCAAGCAGTATATACCATCCAAACACTGTGTGGGCCCCCCTGTGATCGAAAATATGCGCCGCGATCTGCGTTCCTATGCTTTTGGTAAATTATCAAATCCTAATAAAATTAGTTTAATAATGTATTCCTCAAAATTATGATTTCAGATAAAAAAACATGATTTACAAATGCTTAATAAATGGATGTTACCTTTCCATTTGAAAACATCTATAATTATTAGCCTAATGTGGGAATTCCCCCAGTTTTTCATAAATCTACTTTCGTTTTTAATTGTTAACTTTTTGTAATTTGTGTTGGCACATTAGTTATTTCTGTTTCATGAAGTAATCATTTCGTTTCAGTATAAAATATGTAACATAACGGCTACAAGATTTAAAAGATACTTACATCAATTTCTTCAAATTTTAAGAAAAATCTTATCCGGGACTAACCTCCGCCATACTGATATTTTCTTCAATTTAACAGCGCATGCGCGATTCATAAAGGCCTCACAACACTAAATATTGTCCTCCACTTACCAGTACCTCTATGGCTATATAGATTTCTAATTTTCTAAATAATGAGGCAAAAATAGCATGAAAACTTTGGACTTTAAAAAATAATAGATTTTGTTTTGATTGTTTTTCTATATTAACTAAAAACTCAATGGTAAAAATGTATTATATAATGATTTACATAAAAGTATATATAGCGTTTCCGTTAATGTGTTCTTAATGCAAAAAAATTAAATTCAGTATGATAATGACCTCAGCATTTTGTTTTGGTTAAAAAATTACAATACGTATGTTACTTTGTTATAAAATAAATCTAATAAAAATGCGATACATTTGTTTGACCAGTTCCAGTGCAGTTTTTCAACGTTTGGTGTCTGCTTAGTGCTTACAAATTAACAAAAAGTTGGTTTAAAAAATGTACCTGCTAGCTAGTTGATATTTGATTCGACTTCAAGCCTAACAAGTATTAGGAAATATATTATCTTTTTCTAGTAAGAATACTGCTTGATTGAATCTGGTTAGTTTCACCAGTTCCGTAGCCTAATTAATTTGGCGTGAACGGTTTGACCCATTTTACAGACTTTTTTTTCTTACTGTCAAACCGTTACGCCTAATTTTAACTGTCATTTTTACGCACGGAAAATCTACCGGCAACACTATCGATAGTTTGGACTGATTTTTACTTCTTAAACCTGAAAGTAACTTCAATGTCCTCTGAAAATCAATAGAATATAAATTCTAGTACTAACTTCTCCTAGAAAAAATATTAGATTGTACCTGTCTTAATTGCGATTTATTTCAAATTTGTACTGTATACACTATCTCCGGCGGACATGTTATGACGTCATTGTAAAAAATCGATTCCGTGAAAGCTGGTAGTAGCAACCAGTGTGTCTAGCAGGTAAGTGTGGGTTACGCATGAAGATTAAACTTCAAAAAAAAATAATCGGGGAAATAAATCTATTCATTATTTTAAAATAAATTTGTGCATAATTAAATACTATTGAAAAGTATCAATGTGTTAAACCTAAAATACAAGGGTAGCAAATAGGCTCCGTATGGGTACTGTTGTTTAATATTTTTTAAATGTTTTAATACATGTACTCAACATTTATCAATAGATGTTTTTGCCTTCTTGTTTACTGCTAATGACTGCCGATAAAATACTGACTTCATTTATACATGCATATACAAATGACAATTAAGAATGTAAAAGAAATAAAGGAATTCTTTTTCACCTATTGCTGATATATATTATAATACCATATTAAACCTACTGATAAAGTTAAATGTCTTCTTGACATACTTTATTAATTTACTAAAAAAGGAACTTTATTGTGATCCAGCCATATGCTGTGTAACTATAAGGGAAGGGTCACATATTTAAATTGAAATAAATTTTAAGTATAGGATATTAAAAAAAATCATTGAGAAGATAAGAATTTTCAAATGAACAGATTAAGAGACTTATACATGTATGTCTTGTTGTTTTATACTGCTTTGGTGACACTTTTGTTTTTGTCCCTTGTTGTTTTCTCGTCTATGGTAAATATCTTCCCTTTGCCCCTAGTTTTATTTCTTTATTCCGCTCCCTCCCCCTTCCCCGAATTTCCCATCCCCTATCACTGTGCCAGTTTACTTAATAGTCCTATTAATCATTCATTTATTTATTTTCTTTGATTTTGATTTCCTTGTATGTTACCATTATTTCTTTATATTTATCATTTTATCATTTTAGTGATAAGCCAGACCGTGCCCTCTCTTGCGCCGTCCTGTTTTTGTTTAGGATCCTCCTGGGTTCCTTGCAAATGGTTCTTGTTCCTGGGTCGTGCGGGGGTTGCGTTCATTGAACGCGGCCTTTTCTTGTTCATCTTGTTTATCATATTTTATACTTGTATACCGAACCGAACCATAACAAACAGATAATGATTATCAATACAAGGTTCGACAAGCAAGCAAAGAAATGTAAAGAAAACAGAAAAAACTTATCCACATATCCGCCCTCAAAAAAAAAAAAAAAAAAAAAAAAAAAAAAAAACACAAAAAAACGCCTGAAACTGCAAAACCGAAACATAAATACACTTGGGTGCCAAAGACGGCTCTGGTAGGTACATGTGCTCCCTTGCGCCGGTTTCAACAGAATTCATCACTTAAACATAATAATGTAGAAATTTTAATCAACACCCACAGATGTGTACAAAATACGGCGGTAATCATGGAACTTTCAATGCAACACATTCCAGGTGCCGTTCAATGAAAAGCGGGAACTAGATAACATGGAATTTTAAATGGATATAGGTTTTGGTGTCATTTTGCGACAGTCGTTCTAACAGACGACTACAGTAATCTAATCAGACTATTTCTCCCATCTGTCTCATCTTACATTGTTATGCTATTCTACGTCTTAAATAAGGGTCACTAAATTTCCGCTTGCTGCGTTTTTATCATAAACCCCGTCATATCTGTTCGACAATTGCATTTTACTGAGGACTGTCTGAAATTCCATTTAATAGTTTGAAATTTTAAGATTTTTTTCTCAGAATTTAAAGTTATTTTTGGTTGTTTTGAACTTCTTCCCCTACACAACTGTCCTCATTTTTTTTTTAAAGATAATAAACTAGAAATTGATAGGGAGTTTAATATAAATTGAAATTCTTCTTAATTTGCTTCATCATGTATAGTATACTTATAATTCATTAAGATGTACCTACAATTACATTGTATTTTCATATGTGCGAAATCATGGCAGGGTAATAAAATAAAAAGGCAGTTCAGAAATTTCACCTAATGATCACAGATGTTAAAAAATCTGACATTACAATTTCTAATTTTACAATTTAAATGGACTTTTTAAATGCAGTATGATCTGACGTTGGACATCTAAGTAAGCTAGGTTATCAGAATATCCTTTTCACATTTTATTTGCTGAAATATTCTTGTGTGAAAAAAAAAGTTATTCCTGCATAATTCATAATAAATAACTTAAACAAATTATGTTAGAAAGCTTGACAAATACAATCGATTGCCGCCGATACCTGTGTTACACCATGGAAATTTTACAATTTTACCCTGTTTTACCCTGTCACCGCTTGCGTCATTTTCCAATATGGCCGCTTACAATACTTTTCAACGATTTAAAAAGTTAAAGTGGAATATTTAGACTTGTGTTCGACTTTAAAGTATGATAACTTGGAACCTTGCATAAAAAACGGTTCTCTTTCAGGTAATGTAGACCGTTTCTTTGAAACTTTTTTAGTTTTCGCTCCCAACAACTTCTATTTGGGAAGCGTCCGTGCATAAAAATGCAGTTCGTGGTTGGACTTGGAAAAAGACAGCGCCCGTCCAAAATTATCTCGGTGTCTCTTTGACAAGTCTAATTAGTTGGACTACCAGTTCCGAAGCAAGTTCCGGTGCACATAACGTTACAAATGCCATTTGTAATATTTGACAATTTTTGCGAGCTAATACTTACACTATGTAAGTACACTGCCTGATTTATTATTTTAATATTCATTCGGGGTATACATGTATATGGTATTGTAATCTTTAAAGCACCACCATGCTTGGCGTGAGATGAAGCAGAACTGCAATTGCATTGCATGCATTTGATTTTTGTCATTATTTCTGGTAAGTTCTGTTTAAAACAGGGATCGTATACAATGTCCAAGATGAAAATAAGTTTTTGTTTTGCAATAATGCTTGAACAACACTCATTCTAGTCCCATTACTGGTAAATACTTTTTATAGATAATCTATGTTTTTTATTTTATCCATATTGACAAACATCTTTAGTTTAAATAATATCTGTCAACAATGACACAGACATCCATGGCCATGTTCTGTTTTGCTCTATATTCTGCATTTTATTTCATTATTCAGTTTTCAGAGATAAATGTATATTAATATCACACTACACGTACAGTACTTGTTATAAAATAATAATATGGTAGGATATTTTTAGTAACGACTTTCCTTGCATGCATTTTAAATACATGGTTTTAATTTAATACATATAACTCAAATAAAATGTTGGCACACTTTCTAACATATACTCATTCATATATTTCAACATTAAAGAACTTTTTTTCGGATCAGAAAAAGTGGAAACGTTTTCATTTGGGTACAGTCTGATAATAATCCCGTCATCAAAAATACATGTACGTGCTCGGAACTGGTCAAAATAGGTCTCCTTGATTAAACAGGTATGAATATCTTTTTGTTTACTTTTTGCATATATTTTTGGATGAAGTTGTATGGCAAATAACAACTTTTCCATCGATATATAAAATGTGTCCTTTTCTTTCAGTTTACATTATAGCATGTACCGATAAAAATGCCGATATGGATTTCAGCATTTTTTCCTCATGTAGAGCCAGTTATCGGACAAAAAATATTAGAAGCTGAAATAGAATAATGACTAAAATATTTATTTGTTAATGTCAATAAACAACAAAACTATTTATTGTGGTTTACATGAATGGCTTGCTTGATTGTTTGGAACTGGTCAATGCGCCGGAGCCGGTCTTGAATCAACTGTGTTTCAACTTAACCCATTATACACCGCATTCATGGGCATTTTGTAAAACATTGCTGTTTTCATTGAAAAGCCTCCTGTTACAAATTAAAATTGCTATGAAACTATACAAAATGCTTCAATACTCATTACTGATCAATCGTGGCACAAATGTTGACTCGACCATTGCCTTTGTAACGGCATGCTAACTCTTGAATTTCCTGTTACCATGGCAACGATGGGACATCTCAAAATTGCCAACTGATTTCGAAGTGCTGCATCTTCTCAATAATAATAATAATAATAATAATAATAATAATAATAATAATAATAATAATAATAATAATAATAATAATAATAAATATTTTTTTCCATGAAGGTAACATATTAAGAAATATCAATTGATTAAATAAAGTCAAAGGCCTTT